TGTGCAGTGAATTAGAGTTTTTGAGTTTTTTCCTTCCATTATTCATATGTTGTGAAGCCACAATAAGAAACTTTTAATAGCTTTGTTCTGTGCTTCAAGAGAGTAAACTAGCTTGGGGTTATGTGAAATGTGCCTTCAAGAAAAAATTCAACCAATATAACATGTTTTATTGCTTAAAACAATGAGGGCTCATTTCCTGAAACGTAGCAGGAGTTATGTTCAGGCAATTTCTGATTCCGGCTGAGAAGTGAGTGAAAGTAACTGAACTGTGGATGTCAGTGCTCATTTAGAGTTAAGAAAAGTACGAGGTATCTAAAATACAGATTTTTTTCTAAAATATAGAAAAATACTAGTTTGGTCCTGGTATCAGATCAATATTGGCAATCGATTTTTGCAAGTTAACACAAAGAATGACAGATTTGTGTTTTTTAATTGCAAAGGTTAACACACACTGCAGAAGGTTTTAAAAGCTATTAAAAAGACCCCACCAAAACAACACCCACTGTTGGGTAACTAAATATGACTAGATGTTGACCATGGCTTACTGTTTTTTGTTAGGTAATTTTTGGTGAGTGCGAAGATGGAATATCTCAAGACTTACTATTGCAAGAAATAGATCTTTTTAAAGCTGTTGAACTTTTTGCATTAAAGTGAGTTGAGGATGCAATACATTGGAGTGTGGTAAGAATCTGTCCAGAACAATTTGCATCTTCATAATATGTTGCAGCTTGCCTGGGCAGTGGAGAAACAGGGAAGGGAAAATATGTGCATGTGTGAAAGGAAAGGCGTCAAGTATGCTGCATGCAAAACCTACAGATTGAATGGACTTTAAGCAACAGACCTAAAGCTTCTTGTTGCTGTAAACATAGTTTGCACTCACAAAACTTAGCAGAGCACATAGCAGTGTCTGAAATTTTAAGGCAAATGTGGAAATTGTGTGAAGGAATGATGGAAGAAGAGAACACACTTAAAGCTTAATTACCAGGGCATGCAATAATAGTAGAAGTCAGTTGTGTGAGGGGTTTTTCTGCTTGTTTGACTACAGGTGGGCATCTGGATTTTGTAACGTGTGCTAACCTGTTTTGTCTTCGTGCACTGGTTTGCAAACCCAGTATTTTTAAGTGTTTCGGTAGGACAGTGCTAAATAGCAGAAGGCATACACGACAATAAGAACCATTATCGAGCAGACATTTTGTAAATGTCTACTATGATAGGAAACATTAGTAGGGAAATGGAATGAATTCCACTGAAAAGTGTCTACAGCCGTGTATCTGTAAGTGATGCAGTGAAGTCCAGGAAAGTACGGAGCTTTCGGTGCCCATTTGCCTGATTGCGTTCTGTGTCAGGTTGTTGCTTCTGAATGGTTAAATACTCATGTATTTAAAGTAAATCATAAGTAAACTGTATATAACCTTCTATGGTAAATTAGCACAACTAAACCAAGGAATATGTTTTTCATTAAAATACGATGTTAAGTGGTTGTCTTAAAGAAGATTTGTATTTTTCAAATTACATGGTTTTGTCACTAAATGAGTTTCAACTTATGAATATTCATAATATACTCCTTCACAGTCTCAAACAGTGCGTGCATAAGAATGAGGTATGTCATCTTTGAGCAAAACTGAAGTGTTCGGCAACTTTGAGGAAATGAATGTTCTTTAAATAGCTGAACAGTGATTACTACTGCTGCTGGTGCTTCGGGTACAGCTGCACAAACCAAAGCTCCTCTAGCTGGAGCCTGAATTTGCACTGTGCCTACTTACTTGGGGGTAACTTTTACATTTAAAACTTCGCAGTAGAGGATTTGAAATATCTTACCATGCGCCCACAGAGCTACTGTCTTTCCAAGGAATGGGAGCATGCAAAGCAGAAGTTGCCTCCAAGTCGTCAACAGGCCAGAAATTACCAGCAGCACTTCCCCGATGTGGTTGAGGGACCCAACTATAAAGTTTACTCTGTCAGCTTCATTTTCTTTTTCTCTGGGAGAAATCCTAGCGTATAGCTCTCGGTGGTTATACCCGCCCTGTAAACAGACCTTGGATCGTAATTTAGTGCATTGTCACAGGAAACACACCTCTACCTCAGTGCTTTTGAAAAGCATTAATTTTGTATCTAAAGTTAACATCTTTTGTTTTTAGCACAATGTGAAATGTTAGCAAAACTATCCTGCTAATGATTTCCTTACTGAAAGCAGGTTTGCTTCTCCACTTAGCGCATCTTGTCAGCCATCACTGCTCTGCGCTGTGTTTTTTCCTCATCTTAACAGTATGCTTTTCTCCTTACAAACCATTTAAGAAATGTGGGATTGAAATATTGGTCAGAGCTGCTTTTGGTACATTGTTGGCAGTTTTTACGTAAGAGGAGGTGGTGATTAGGTCATTGATAATCCTAAAGAGAGAGGCGACATAAACCAGTTACAAAGGGTAGATGCTGCGCCTTCAGTAGGTGACAACTGAGCTTCTGTGCTAAGTGGCCAGAACATCAGGAGTTGTGAGCTGACGTTCATCCATGAAATTATCACAGTCTAAGGCAGTGATTTACAGAACTAAAAGCTGTGACCTCCCATCATTTACTGATTTGCAGAAATTGTTCTTAAACATACAAAGGCGTAGGCATGGCAGTGGTAGCTGTCTTTTGTATCTACTCATCTAAATGACTTTATTTCCTACCATAGTCGGGTATTTTCATGTGATTTTATGTGCTTCGTTGTTGGTGGTGGTTTGGGGTTGGTTTTTTCTGTTTGTTTCAGTTGCAATGTTCTCAAAGCCCTGCCTTTTTCTTTTAGGCTTCTGCCCTAAGTGTCCCATTAACTATTTTAAAGAAGACAATTCAGAGGGAAGTATGAAAAATTCCCAAATAGAGTATTTGCCAATTACTTTGTTAGGCTTGATCCTACGTATGATCTGGTGCTTTAGGGACATTTTGGTGAAGAAAGAAATCACAAGCCCAAGTCATATGGAAACCCAGGCTTTGGTTACAATTTAGTTATAATTCTTTCCAAGAATTTCCCAAAACCTGAAATCTCTGCAGCAGCTCCTGGTTCCCTCCCTTCGTTGCAGCTGCTGTAGGACCCGCAGGGTCTGTTTGAGACCTTGGAGGCACCAAATAAGTGGAAGGTGAGGCAGGAAAGTTGCATTTCTGATGGTGTAGGAGGGGAAGGAGGAATGGACATGCGGGACTGCAGACAGGAATAATAAAGCATCCAAGCGAACGGAATTCGATTTTGAAATTTGAAACATAGCGTTGCAGGAAGTGATGTTTCTTTAGCTTGATGGGGGTTCTTCTGTTTCAGAAAGTGCTTTGAATTTAAGGAAGTCATGGAACAATTCTTGGTATTTCTTCAACATGTGTAATTAGTGCACTGCTGGAGTAGTCTTTGAAAACAAAAAATGACATTTTTCTATAGAAACAGATGCGAAGTTTTATTTCCACTTTCTTGGTGAAGAGAAAGGTGGTGATGTTTCAAATAACTGCTATTTCTCAGCTGCAAGGCTTCTCTCAAACTTAGTCAGCCTTTCCTGCTGCTCTTCCTTGAGGGTGTGGTATTTTGATTTTTCTCATTCGCTGAATATTTATTGTGAAAGGACATAGGCAAAAATACCTTTGCTGGGGTACTAAAAACATAAGTCCTAAAATAACAGTGACTGACTCAAGTGCCCTACATAGATGCTGGTATTTTAGTAACCAGAAAAGAGTACAGCAAGATTCAGGTTTAAGCCGTTTCTTGCAATGGGGGGTTCAATCCTTGTACTGAAGAAGAACAGGAGTTTGCTGACGAGAAGTCACAAAAGGTGTGTGCTGTACCAAATGTCAGCTCCAGCCTATTGTAACTAATTATGGGTGGCTTTGACTGAAGCTCCGGGAAAGAGACATTTTGAGTAAATTTGTGTTTTCTAAGGGCTTGTCAAGGGATCTTCTCTTCGATTTGTACTTCAGGGTTCTTGAGATAAAAACAGAGTTTCAGCTTTCATGGTGGAAACTTAAAATCTCTAAGTGTGATTTAAATTGTCAAACTTGAGACTGCTTGCATGTTGTCTCCTGCTCATTAGCTTTTTTATTTTGAATTACAGAACATACTGTTATTTATGTGTGGACATGCAAATGTGATAATGCCATGTTGGAGTCCTTTCAAACAGATTTTTCACAGGGTGGAATCTCTGACCTTTCGGAGTGTCTCTCACTTATAGGATACGCTTCATGTAGTGTTTAAGTAATTTTCAGATAAAATTCATGGTTTCATGTCAGAAGGTTTTCTGTCACCCTTGCAAATTGAAGTGGATGGAATATATAGCATGATTTTTTACAGTGTTAGTAATATTGTTAGTAATATATGTTTTGTTGAGTGAGGTTTCACAAAAGTAACTGAGAAGAGAATTTGTTCTTGCAGGAATTTAATGTTGCTTTGGACCCAGACACATGTGACCTCACTGTTTTCTCACGTGGTGTGTTGACTCTGCAGAGTTAACAAGGATAAACAGTAGTGCAGGTCTTTTTTTTGATACATTAAGGTAATTGGATAAGGCATGAGTAGAACTAATTATCATGAGTGCTATTTCTGGGCACTAAAACTCTTAAAGACAGAAATGCATTGCAATTTCTTGGTCCTAGTTTTCCATCCAGAGCATAAGCAGATCTTGTTTTGAAATTTCTGTAGCGAATTGCTTATATTTATGTTATAAACCCTTGGTGAAAGTGATCATAGGTGAAATGAAAAAATACTATCAATCAAAAAGGTTTCTTTGAATGTAGAAAAAGGTTTGGTTGGCATTTGATGGTTAAAATGTAAACCTGTAAAAGCTAATGAGGTTGTCTCTCCTCCCCAAGTCTAAAACAGAATCTGTAAAGTTTTGAATATTTTTCACTATTTTCTTTCTCTTCTTTAATGGAAACATATTGCCCTCATTTTCATGATACCCTCTGTAGCTCTGTGTTCATTGAAAAAAGCCATGTACCTGACGGGAAGCCCAGCTGTTAATGTTACCCCTTCTCTCTTTTATAAGGAAGGTGCTTCTGCTCGAAAAACACAGACTCCAGCAGCACAGCCCATTCCACGACCAGGTAAGGTAGCCTGCTTCCATTTGTGCTTCTGTTCCAAAGAAGTACGAGTTTCAAAGTAGTACTATTTCAAACTTTAGCTCAAGAATAAAGTGGGAGTCATTTATTTGTGGTCTTTAACTGCATATGTATTTGAAATAACACAACTTTTTAGTTAATGTTATACCGTGCGTAGCTTGAACTGAAACGGTCAGGGGCTTGGGTCCGTTCTCTGTAGTGTGTTGCTGAATTAGCCCGTTGAAAGGATGCACTAGTGAAAACAAAAAATGATGAACTTCTTGGTTGTCAGCTTGGCAATTCAAAAATGCCCACTCAAATGTATAATAATAGCTGGCTAATACTCCAGGGAGGAACAACCTAAATAGAAAAGCTAATGTTGAAAAGAGATACATTATTACTTATTAATATATCAGATATAAGTCTTTCTCTGAGTGTGTTACCATTACTTCTTCACACTTCTTAGCACATGAAGAATTTCATAATGGGGCCGGAATCCTCAACTGACTTTTAAATTCCCGGTTAGTAGGTTTTAGCTACCAACTCAGTTTTGTGTGTCAGATTGAATCTGCAATTGAGATTCAAAGATAGAATGATATAGATGCTTTATTTTGTTTTAATGAGAAACCCTTAGAAAGAAAGAGTTTTTAAAAGATGTGAGGATCACTGTTTCCAAACAGCTATGTGCATATCTGCACCTAGTTTACATACTATGAGAATTTCTGGTTTGGTGGAAGAAAGTCTCAAGTGAAAGGTGTTATTTAAGAACGAGATGATGTTGTTATGAAGGTATTGGAAAGGGGACATTTGGGGGTTTTTGGAAATAAAGCTACCTTATAAAATGAATATATTTTTTTCTGGAAGTACTGCTGGAGTAGTGCCTATTCTTGTTGAGACTACTAAACGCTTGCAATGTATGCCTTGCTAATTCCCAGAGATTTATTAGTAGGATTTAATGCTAAGACTTAATATTTTAAAAATGATTCTTCCCCAAAAATCTATTCTGATATTGAATATTCGCAGCATACCTAAATGCTGTTGTGCACAGATTCTTCTGTTTGTTATTTTGGTACTAGAAAGGTCATGCTGCCTGTCATACTTATCTCCCTAGCCCTGTTAAGCATGATAACGCGAATAGAGTTGACAGACAGCAGTATGAAAAGAGTAGAAGTGGCAAGAACAGAGAGCTGACTGAATTGTCACAGGTCCTTACTTCTAGCTGTGACTTCATGGGCATTAACTGGCGGAAGTGTATTTTTTGTACATTGTACAGGTTATACTGATATTGCCCTTCTCTAAGGCCAATCTAATCCATTATCTTGCCTCTATATTGCAAATTGAAGAGAGGATAAAGAAGAGAGGTGTAGTCTGAAGAAAGTATATACTGCTTCATTAAAAAAAAACACCTTATTTTTCTGCCTGTTTTAGGATATTTTGGGGTTTGGAACTTTTAAAGAAGTAGCTGTTCTGTTCTTAGCAGTCAAAGTATTTGGAATGTACAGTTGTCAGGAGGATGCTGCTTTGCGCATAAAGTGTTAGTTGAATTGGATGAAACAGTTGTGCAGTACTGATTTGAAAAATTACCTATAAGATGTGCTTTTAATTTAAGATGTTTTTTGTGTACCTTTCTGCAATACCTAATTTTCTACGAACATGTCTTGGTACAGCTATCAAATTTCTTCCAGATGCTTTTTTCCCCCACCAGTTTATTTTAGGGCAGCAGACGCTGCCAATATATTTCAAGATACATTTTACATTAAAGAGAAACCTAAATTAAAAAAAAAAAAAAAAAAAAAAACAACAAACAAAAAAACACCAAAACAACAACACTGGGTAGGTAAAGTTCATATAGTTAAATATAGTGAGACCAATTATATCCGTGCAATTGACAGTGTCAGGAAAAGATAATTAAGGATATGGTCTCAGTATTTCAACAATGGCAACTATGTGTTGTGAATATTTATACTGTTCTAGCCAGTTTCTGAAACAGTTGGTCATAAATAAACATGAGCAAGTTGGTGCTATGAAATTGGAAGTCAATAAATGAAATTTTTCATGCATAGTAGCAGTTGAGACTTGAGTTAGTCTGGATCAAGCTTTCTACTACTCACCGTTTTCTGAGCCTGTGAATTAGGATAAACATATATGATGATAATGATTGAGCACAACAGTTCTTTCCTTAAGGTAGGACTCATGAAAACTGAACTATAAAGTGTTTGTTTGGAGGAAGCCAGGTTGTTCAGTAATGGCACCAAAGTGAGGAAGGATACGCACTCTTCCCGCTTTGCACTGAAGCATCTGCTGTGTTGAGGAGGCCCCAGCGCAGAAGGCTGCAGTGGGAGCGCTTTACTCGGGGAGGGGGACACACTCTTTGGTTTCGGTGTGGCCAGTATTGTTTGCTTGTGTGATTTTGTTCAGTGGCAGTCTTATTGGCAGTTTTTTGGGGGGTTGGGGGGGGGTTCTTTGTGTTGTTATTTTGTTTCGGCTTTTTTTTGTTGTGGTTTGGTTGGTTTTTTTCTGGAGTTCTGCTGTGTCTGTCAAGTTTCATTGTTTCTGGCACTAAAGAGTTTGTGTAACTCAAAAACTGCAATCCAAAATTAACTTGAGTAAGCCTGAAATTCAGATTTTTATTGTTGAAAGTTAAATTCTACAGATATCATCTACGATAAAAACTACTGACAAAAAGGTGAGGTTCTGTAAAAATTAGTTTGTTGTGAAACAGCCTTCCTGTTGGTTTGGCACTATTGAACTTAAGATCCGCAAGCAGCCTTGTTGAAGATTGCTGGCAGTTCTTGTCAATGCTGTAGTGCCCCAGCCTTTTGAGGAGGATGGAAAGGGATAACTAGTTTCAGTAAAATGAGGAGAGATTGACTCAACTGTCCTAATGTCGGTTTCAGACAGTCAGAAGCTGTTTGTCTTCTGGATACCGAGACCCAAATTATAAATCCCTTCTTCAGCTTTGTGTATTGCATCTGTGAAAATAATCTAATGACTGTAGTGTGACTCTTCTCTGTTCAGTCCTGCAACTAAAAACATTGACTAACACATAAATACAAATGTTGTAAAGCATCATTTCATTCTGCCATATTTTCTGATTTTTTTTCTCAGTTTCTCAAGCAAGACCACCTCCAAACCAGAAAAAAGGTGAGTCAGTTCTAGTTACGCGGTCCTTTTTGTTGTGAATTTGCCCACTCTATCTTTTGCTGGAACCACAGGCACCAATATAAACAAGCAGTGGAATGCAGGCAGTGTTCTGTTTTGCTAAATATGGGTCCTACCCATACTTAGAGACTCCTGATAGAAGGGTATGCTTTTTTGGTGAATGGAAACCTTTAGTGTAGAAATTATTTACTACAATTTTCCTTGAATATTTTTCCATGATTTTGATCTGTTAAGCAAGAGTTTTGCTTTTATGTACAGTTCCTTTAATGAGAAAAGGGGGGGAAAAAACCCAACAGCTAAAACAGCAAAAAAACCTGCAAACAAACAGGCAAATGTAACTTTATTGTCTCTACAGGATCTCGAACTCCCATAATCATTATTCCAGCAGCCACGACCTCTTTAATAACGATGCTTAATGCAAAGGACCTTCTGCAAGATCTGAAGTAAGTAGCTGATTAGAACATACTGTGTAAAAGATTTTCGAATATAGAAGTATACTAGTACCAAATTGGTAATTAAGCAAGAGGGAGCATCAACAGTGTCATGACAGGCTAGTTTTACAGACCAGAGTATAGAAGAAATTAACGCCTCTTGAGTAGTAGGAAAAAAGCAAAAAAATACTTTCAGAATTTTTGCACAGTTGTGGCCTGCGGGCCATATGGGCAGGTTGAGAAAAAAGTCTTACACTGCCATTTCTAATGTCTGTAGTGGTTTTCTTTTATGCAACATATATGCACACATATGCAACCAAGAAACAAACCCTTAAAATGGCAGAAGACTTAGAGAAGACGAGCAAGGGCAGTGTTCTCATTGAGATCAGAAAAGATGTCAGGAGGTGACCACAGTTATCGTAAAGGAGAAGGTAATTGGAGAGTTGTAAATGGCTGTATCAGCTGAGCGGGTTGTATGGTTGTGTAAATAATGCATATTTTTTTTAAAGCTCACATACTATAATAATAAGAATTAGGCATTGTCATTAAGTATGGATGCAAATTCATTCAGAGAAATATTAATGAGTTGCTAAAATTTGTTTATTGCATCACACATCTGATTCTAGGATTCAGTTCATTATAGCTGAATGCAATCAACACTGCAAATTACTTTCTTCATGGTAAGGTAAAATTCACTATTATGGTAAAAAAAATTTTAAAAAAACCCCACAACCCAAACCCCACGTTTGATGTCGTTGTTGTCCAAAAAATCATGGTATTTAGAGCTGCCTGCCAGTTAATACCAGTTAATTTTTCTGAAACGGGCAGTCATTTTCACAGAGAAATACACTGTTATAGATTGTCCGCAATGGTATGTTCAAAAAAATGGAGAGCTCTTCTTTTCTTCCACCAGCAGCACTTTGCATGTTCTTGGTGAGACTACGTGCTGCTTTTCTTCAAAACCAGGCTGTCCTTACTGTGGTGCTACAGCTTTCACTGGAGTTGCCCTAGAATTTTTTAAAACTGTGCTGTGAGATACCAGGTGCCTTCTAATCTCCAGCTATTTCTAGTCCTGAGATTACTGCCACGAAACATCAAAGATCCAGTGAGCATACTGGATTCTTGCTGCCTCTTCCGAAATACTTAGTCGGAGACAAGGCTGACTTTTAACATTATAGCTTCAGGTGCATGCAGTTACTGGGCCGATACAGTTGCGTTGACAGAGATGTTGCTTGTTTATGTGGGTTTTTACGTTCAAGAAGTAATTTCACAACTACAAGCCCTGGATTTTACATCTGTGTAATTTGACTTTCTGGTACAGGGTACCTGTATGTCGTGTTTAAGTGTATATGTGCCAGGAGGCTCTCAGCTCTGCCTGGCCAGCGCTGCAGTTAATTTCCAGAGACCTGCCCCAAGAGGAGGCTGGTCGTAAAAGCGCAAAGAACGGGATCCAGGAAAAAGAAGTTTAAGGGGTCAAAGGAGGACACTGATATAGTTAAGAAGTATGAAAGACAAAGTGAAGAGGCAAGGTGTGTTAATGAATGAGAAGTGCGATAACAGAATTTGGAAGAGCAAAATATTCACAGAATCACAGAATCACAGAATGGTAGGGGTTGGAAGGGACCTCTGTGGGTCATCTAGTGCAACCCCCCTGCCGAAGCAGGGTCACCTACAGCAGGCTGCACAGGACCTTGTCCAGGCAGGTCTTGAATATCTCCAGAGAAGGAGACTCCACCACCTCCCTGGGCAGCCTGTTCCAGTGCTCCGTCACCCTCAGAGGGAAGAAGTTCTTCCTCATGTTTGGACGGAACTTCCTGTGCCTCAGTTTGTGCCCATTGCCCCTTGTCCTGTC